ACATGCTTATAACCAATAAAATGAGAATATTCTTTGAAACAATTTTCTCAAAACTAACTTGAAATTGTCATGGACTGTGCATTCAAAACACCAAATACAATGTTGGTGAATGCCAATTCCCAAGCAGTTTTTTTTTCTCACCTTACAGATATTGGTTTGAAAAATAGTTAAATTGCATTTAGGTTTTAGTTTTATATTTTAGTTAATTAAGTATTATTTGTTTTAAAATTTATACATGCAAAAATCAAAAATTTTTGTAAAATAACCAAACTTTGCCTTTGCCCACAAGGCAAGTGCAAAAACATTTTGCCAGAGACTAAAGCATCAGTACTGATGATACCGTTTTATCACCTGTGGGCACCTGTTGACATGAATTGACATAAATACTCAATGATAAAGAATTAGAAAGGAAAATTAAACATTAAAAATAAACTACAAGTGAAAAGGTAGACATGAAATTATGCATATGGCCCAAAGAGATATTTTAAGATTATTGAAAGAAGAGATAAAAAGTCTGTGTGTATATACATATATATATTTTCTATTTCTTAATTTTAACATTTCATCGTACTGTACATTCATGATAATAACTAGTTAGTGATGTGATAGATAAAATGGTAAATAAAATGTGAACATTTACTTTAAAAAAACTTTTGATATCCATTTAGAAAGTTCCAGAAATTATGCTAATAAAATGTGAAAACTGTAAGGTAAAAATAGTGTTTTTAAACTTAACATTAAAATCACCTTGCAAGTAAATTATTCAGGAACCAAGTGCAAATAACTACATTAACCCTTTTGAGACAGGTCACAGGTGATAGACCATGACATCTCATTTGTTGACTCTTATTCAAAATTTTATACAATTACTATTTCTTGAATAAGAGTCAACAAATGACATAAGTTTGCTATCAACTGTAGATTATAATTCAAATTTCAGAACTACACATTACTCAGTTTGTTAATAATTTAAAAGTAAATATTAAAAAAACACAGATAAACATTGATTTTTGTGGGTCACATGGTATGCTGAATGCAGAACTGGTT